GGCTGTTGTGTAACACGTGTTTGTGTTGGGTCGCGCGAGGGGAGCGTTGTGCGTCTTGGCTGCAGGTGCGCGCGTGCGTGCGTGCGTACGCGCGTGCGCGCGGTGCGTGTTGCGCGCCGACACGCCGCTCGGCGTTGCCACGATTGTCCTCTTCCCTAGGCGCGCACCCTCTGCCGCCACAGATCGCAGGGCTTATGTAACAATGCAGTCACCGAGTTGCACAACGGCAATTTCCGCGTGCGTTACGGCAGCTGATGGGCGGCACGCGCCAAGTGGCAGCGCGCGCAGAAATCGGCGGCGCCGACCTCGGTGACGGCAAATTAATTGGAACGTACCCGCGCGCGTGCTTGTCGCGGAGTGCACGCGCGGCGACGCGATTTTGGTCGCCTTCAACCCGCGCTCGGGCGCCGTGGCGCTCGCAGATTTCTCCCAACGAACAAAATAAAACGAACCAACAAGGCACGGTTCGGTGCCGGGGATTTTGGTGGCGGTTGGCGCCGGCGGCGGTGCCCGGTGCGCGCGGTGAAGATCGAGGGCAGCCTCTGCAGGGCGTTTGCCGCAGTCGGCGAGAAATCCTGAGGCGGGGAAAATGTTCGTTTCCCCAATTTCTGCAGGCCAAATCAGAAATAGGCTACACCGGTGGGTTGTTACACAACGCGATGATGTAATCCGTCTTGGGGGCTTGTTATGCAATCCTGCACCAGCACGGATTTATATATCAGAAATAAAATATTCTGGAAACTTGCCCTCCCGTTTTTTTTTTATTCCCTCCGCCTATTTATGCATTCATAATTCTCCTGCTCGTCGGCACTCTTTACATGTTGCATTTTGCACGCACGTAGTAGCCTATATCTCGACGTATCCTTCCGGCCTCTTTTTAGGTGGCATATGAAAAAAAAAACCCATTGAATCAGAAAAACAAAATAGCGTCCGTGTCGCCGGCCACCACGACTCGGGGCTCCGCGCGCTGTGCCCGCTCGTGATCCCTCCCGCCACGGCGCCACTCGCGCCCTACGGTGGCTTGCGTTTTCTGCACTGCGGAACTTTGTGCACATCTTGTTTGGTCACCCACTCCCTTACTCGGACTCCTACCAGAGCTGCGCTGAATTCTCCGCGGCCGCGCGGAGCGGCTCGACGGACGTCGTGCAGGGGTTGGACTTCTCCGCACGGCCCGCTTTCTGTTGTGCATTTAAATGTACTTATTCATTTACTTCGCAAAAAAAGAGGATTAGGGCAGGAGGGGGTGGGTGGGTAGCATTTGCAAACAGCGGAGCTCAGTTTGACTGCGTCACAGCCCAAATGTCAAATTTAGACGCAAACTGGCAACTTAATAGTGGAGATTAATAATTACTGCTGCGCTTATGTAACCTGCGCTAAGCAGAGCTCTGGCTCGTGCAATAGAGGGGGTCCTCGACTGGCGCTCGGTTAAAAAGCGGACGTTGAGTGGGCGTTTGGAGGAGGAGCGGCGTCACATGTCTGGGTGGATCGGACCGCTCGCGATTGTGCCCGTTGATGGTGTTTGTTGATTGCTATCTATTGCAATGTATTCACGTCTGCTCTTCAAACTGCGTACATTCTTTTTTATTAATTGATCCTTCAGTCAAATTGCTAAATGGTCAAATAATGACAATTCACGAAATTGTCCGGGTTGGTTGTAAAATTTGAGCGGTAACAGGCGAGCGAGCGGGCGGCACCAAGACGCACGGCTCTCGCCCCACGGACTCGCTCCGCGCGTCACCCACCCCATCCACTCACTTGCTCACCACATCACCGTCAACCCCCCCCCATCTCCCCACCGTACCACCACCACCGCATCCTCCCTCTCTCTCACCGCCACCCAATCGCTCACTCCACCAGACTCGCCCACCAGCTGGCCACGTCAGCTCGCTCGCTCGCTCGCGACGACGCTGACGCGCTCGCGCACCGTGGCTCGACGTTCCCCCACAGCCGCCCCCCTGCTCGGACGCGAATGGTGAAACGGTGTCTGTTGTGCGCGAGCCGCGATGTGAAACGCTCGTAAAGAGCCGGCGTACGCCGCCCTCCCAACACCGCTGCCACCGCGAGCCTCCCTCTCCTGATGGGTAACATTTACCCGATGAACTTCACGGTGGCGGCGTGCCTGCCGCTACGGAGAGCGCCGTGACGTGCGTTGGCCGTCCTTCCGTGAGAACAAAGCAAAGAGTGGAGGGACACAAAGTCGGTTTTCACCGTCGGCAAGCAGCTGTGACGGCGGCGGTTAGAGAGCAGTGCCTATTCGGTAGGCAGGTGACACCGCCGCCTCCGCTTACGACCGGCAGAGTCGTTTGGCTCGTGGGAATGAGCACGCATTTTGTATGTATACGTATGCGTGTTGAACTTCTTTCGCACCATACGTAGCCAACCGTGCTGATCGGGGGTGCGTTTTTTGGCTGAGTAGACCTAGGGGAAGTGAATGCAAAGCTGCGGTCCACCGACCACTGCTGATCCGCAAGCAGAGGGGAAGCGTTGCAGATACTACAATTTGTTAAAAAAAACATTTTTACGGAACTCGGCATGTTATTTTCAAATGTAGGTTTTGATAGCCGGTGCGACGCAACCCGCGTACATTTTTGGGGTTGGACCTCGCGATGATATAAGTGGATTGACCCAGCGACCGGGCCCTGGGTCCGCACAGGTCGTGACCCCCGCTGACCTCTAGGGTACGGTGTCGTGAGGTTTGAATTGTGACGATTGTCGTTGGTCGCGTTGGCATTGCTGGGAATTGAATGTGGGTCTCTAGCGAGCGAATTTGTCTATTTCCACTGCGCCAACACACGTGCAAATACAAACGTGCATGCGCGCAAATACGCGCACGCATGAATGCGCGCACATGCACACTGAAACAAGCACGCAAATTTCCACATGTGGACGCGCATGCACGCTTACACGGACACACGCAGACGTGCACACGCACGCCGACACGGACACAAACTTGCACACAGCACGCAAGCACCAAAACAGACACGTACGCACCCGCACAAGCACGTGCCCAAACATACGCAAATGCGCAGGACGCACACACTCGGCATCAGAATATTGATTTATCCTGGATGAATCTGGTGAGCTCTGAAGCTCTTTTTCACAGCTTGTCCAGTCGGGTTTGGTCCGAACGTTACAACAACAAACAGGACCAAAACACGAGAGGAGTTCAAAGTCGAGGAAATGTAAATGGATCACAAAAAAAGTACGATTTTTGTTTACCAGGTAAAGCCCACTGAGCTATATAGCTTCTTCATCTTCAGAGGCAACCTGGTTACAAATGATAGCTCAACGAAGTGGCTTATGTGGAGATTCATCGCAGCCAAATAATCTACATAATCTAAACGCATGTTGCTAAATGCGGAGGGATGCACACGCCCGCACGGTCAGACACGCACACAAACGCCCAATGGAGTGACTTTACCGAAAAAACTAAGAATATGAATCCACGATGTTTGTGTGGCCACGGATATCACCATGCCGCAGCACTCGGCTCGCGATCAGTGTCGCGAGTTCCAAGTCCTCCTTGTCGTCATCTCCGTGAGGTCGATAAATTGAGAGTACCCACTTTGGTTGCAACGTAGACCGTCCTATGGGTACTGGTCCCTGCCATAGGAATGTGGAATTTCCACCAAAGCCTCCACACTCCCAACGGTGTGGCACTAACGGCGATGGTGCTCATGTACTCGGGAACCCTTCGCTGAGTCTCAAGGCTCCTCACGAGGAGTGGGGGTGGGGAGGGCGGTTCCTGCTCCGTTAGAATATTTGCCCGGTTTCATTCTCAGGAGCGTTTTACTTTCCCATGGGAGGCGAACGGAGTTCCCAGAGAAAGCCCTCGACGCCGGTGAGGGACGCCGACCGGTTCCAGGGCCTTCTCTTGTGCGGCAGGCAAATTCTGCACTGTCCTCCCAACCAATCAGAATCTTCTTCTTCTGCTTTCGTATGGATTCATAGCAGCAGATTAAAGATGTAATCTTAGATTTGTTATCCACTCAATTGTCTGTTCGGACGCAGAGTGAATGTCGTCCGTTCCTACCAATCTGGATATGAATGCTTTAAGCAAGCCGTGCTGCGTCTGAGGCTGTGTAGATGGTTTATTTACGTGGACGTCTGCGCCGGGATTTTTCTGATGTGCACCGTTGTTGATTTGTATTTTAGAAAGCAGCGGTTGTTTGTCCTGTTTGAAGTGAGTTCTGGCGTGGGCTTCGTGTGTAAAAAATGGTTTGCACATTCCCACCATGCAATGTTCTGTAGCTGCCACCGCTGTTGGCGGTCTTGGGCTGGGGTCTGAGTCTCTGTATCACTCTACAGGTCTCGATGTCGTTTTACACATTGGCGGAGCCACTGGGGCGGTGGGGTGGCACGTGCCTCCGCCAACCCCCCGCCTAAAGAAATTACTGTATCATCGCCGCCTTGCACCACAGAGACGAAGGGTGACGCTGGTTCTCGAGTTTCCTTTCTGGGGGGGGGTCGAGGAAGTTGCCAGGAGAAGGCGGCACGGCAAGCGTGACTGATCGCCGTCTGTTTCCATCTGTACGGGGATAGAGCGTTACCTCCTGGCGCAAGGCGTGGGAACGGACGTCACCTTCGTCTCTGTGGCACACGGCGGCGATGATACCGATAATACGGCACATTTTTGTAGGCGGGGGTTGGTGGATCACGTGGAGATTCCTGAAAACTCGCGGTTGAAAGCATCTTAACGGTAAACGCCGGACGTAGCAGCAGCGGCGGCGGTAGCAGCAGGGACCCTCGTGAAAAAAAGAGTCCTCCAACCCAGTGTGGCTGTCCCTGGATAAACGTGTAAATGATTATTATTATAGTCAAGAGATCCTTCCTGGCAGCGGCAGCGT